ACTGGACTTCACCCTGCTCTCAGTTCACCTGTTGCTGAAACCCTTATTCATGCTTTCATTACCTCTAAACTAGAGTATCTCAGTGCACTCTTGGTTAGTTCCCCACCTTAAACTTGGGATCATCCATAATCCTGCTGCCCACATCTTTAACTTGAAGCACTTCCCATTCCCCCATCACTTGTGCAGAATTACCTTGTTTTTTGCCCTCAGTAAAAGTTTTTTTTTTAAATCTTCTATCTCTTCATTTCCAAAAATCTGTTGCTTTGCTCTCCCCATCTCCTCCAGTCCTATAACCTACCAGTATCTTGCCATTTGTGCCTTCCTTATTACAAAACCACAGGTAACTGTGCTTATATTTGTCAAGGCCCCTTCTTCTGCCAACTCTTCTCTAAATGCCTTTCAAAATCTCCTTTAAGTCATTCCTAATACACATATTTGACCAAACTTTTAATCATCTGATGTCTCCTCAGATGACGATGTCATATTTTGTTTCATGCTGCTCTTATGAAAGCATCTTAGGCCACTTCATTACGGTGAAGACTGCAGAGTTTTGGTTATAAAGCATCTTGTTCTTCCCATTCAAACAATAATCTTGCTGCATTTCCATCCAGAAACAATCCCAATCGAATCTACTGGATTGAGCTAATTTGGGTTGCCAAAAGTGAGTTATGGTTGAAACATCAATGTTATATCCTGATCAATTGAGTATCACATGTGCATTCTTCACAATGTAATTGCTTAAGTTAACTACAGAAGAAAATTTCCTTAACAATTAAATAGGTTTGTAATCTTAAAGCTCCAAACAATTTGCATGACGGCTAACAATTTCCATGACGGCTAACATTTTTCAAAATGGACAGTTATATAAGGCTGGCTGACAATAAAATGGCGTAGTCTACTTTCAAGTTAGGACTTGGAGACCAATGGGAATAATGCTCCATCCTTTCACTCAGTGAAAGGTTCCCAACTCAAGATGTCTGGGACAGATTCAAGTTCATTCTTAAATGCAGATCTTTAGCACAGGACTCCCTATAATTCAACATAGTTGGCACAGAACCAAAAACTGAAACCACAGTGATTCTGAATAGAGCTGGAAATGAAAGTATGAAAATGTACCCTGACAATGGATTCTAAAGGAATGTGAGAGTGGTTATCTGGGCATGACTGAGAACAAAATACTTTGCTCCAGCTAAGATTTTGTATTTGTTTGACAATGTAAATGGAGTCTTCTTTTTGTAACTTATTGGTTTTAGAGATGAAAGACATCATGGCCATCCAATTTTGCCATTGGTCAATATTCCCTTCTTCCTCACCAATTCCCATTGACATGTTGGTTACCCTCTGGCATTTGTTTGAAAACACGTCTAGACCATTGTGTTTACCAGGTGAACACAAACATCCAAAATAGTTTGAACAGGAAAATGGGATCAATATTTTATTGCCCAAAACAACTGAAGCATTTTCTTAAAATTCAGTCAGCTTTCTTTATGCACTGTTGACTTCAGTTGCAGAAATGTACATTGACGTTTTCCATTAACATTCAGCAAAATAGCTTTGGAATAAAAGAAAAGTGATACTTTATTCAAAAACAAGTTGACATTAAGAAATTCATCAAGACCATTATTCAAATTTTGTGTTTTCATTTCATTCGACACTAAAAATCCAAGTAGCTAGTTTCAGCAGTCTTTGCATTTATAGCAACTCACTAATACAGTATGAAACAGACTAAGACTTACTACAACAGATCACATGGCATTTTTCTATAACCATGTGTTATGTTTGTTAACTGTCATGCTTTAAGCTTGGTACTTGCTAGGTCATCTCTGCTGCAAACATTTCACAAATACTACATGACCCTCACTATCATTGTTTGAGGCCTTGACCAGCAGTCCTGTTGCGCAGTCACAAAATTAAGCTTGATTAAACAATCCAGATAAAAAAAGGTGTATAGTTTTTTTCTTTCTTAGGTATGATTGGCTAAGATGTGAACACTGCTTTTTGGATATGCTCATAGGCTCCTGTAAGTTCAACATCTGAAATACTTCCAAGCATAAGTGAATCTGCCTGGTATTTCCCATAATGTGACAGTACTACAGTAATACACAAGTATTAAGCAACATAAAAATTAAGCTTAAAGTCTGACAGTGAGGGAAGAAGATGGAATCTTCATGTCTAGCCATTGGAAGTATATCCTGCCATTGTACTGTGAAGGCATTTCACATGTGCAAGTGAAAAGAATTGCAGGGCTATGGGGTACAGTGGGCAGATGGGAATATTTGGAAGGATTGGATCTGTCAAAAAGCCAGCATCAACATGATGGGCCAAGTGTCCTCCTGTGTTCTATGTTCATTCTCTGTAGAATCATTCTGAAACAAGATTTGGTGTGAAAGAAAACAGAATTTGGTACAGTTAATTCTAACAAGTAGCTAACAAGGACATTTAATTTGATTCTCCCTCCCCAGTCATTAAATTTTATTCTATTCATATTTTTCTTGTGATGAATTCAGGGCAGAAGCACCTTATTCCAGACAGCTTCGGCTTAAATTTATTCTGCTATTTGGACACAAAGAGAGTGAGAGAAATACGGAGAGAAAGTTGCAGCATACAACTTGTTACATATGAAGTGGTGGAGACAAATAGCAGAATAAATTTAAGACGAAGCTAGACAATCACACGCTAAAATAGCGAGATTGACTGATTAAGTAATCCAAAAAAAATCAGAAACACTGAGAGCAAGTGGGTCGTGTGTGACCTGCATCATGCTAACTTTTTGATTTGTTTTCACACGGCCGTTTCGAAAGTCAAAATGCTGGCAACTTTCTAAATTAAACCATAACATTATATAATAAACTCCAAACAGTATACAACACCGTGCAGAATCTCCTGACAAGAGGGAATTGCCGTATACAGATGCATTGATAACAGAATGCTAATTGCTGTTATTTTAAGCCCTCATTGTCAAGCCTATTGCCTTGCCTCTAAGCAATTTCCAACAGATGGTTTACAATGTCCTTAAAGTCTTAGATGCTTAACACTCGAAACTTTATTTTTAAGCAAAAATTTGGAATAACTTTGCGACATTGGAGAGTCTCAAGATATTGTAAATGTAGTGCTTAGAAGAATTTACATTTTGGTTTGTAACTACGAACCAAATGGAATATTTCAACATGAAAACATTGCCTGTTGCCCTGAAGTACCTGATTTAGGACTGTGAACTAATACACTGGTTTGCAAAAAAAAATCCCAAAATAATCTGCTGCGCCACCTTCTGATAGCAAATGGACCTGTCTTTTACCCGAGTTTTAGACTCGAATGGATAATTTCTCAGCTCGAAATATTTGTCGGAGCATCTCTGAGCACTGCATTGCTTACCGTGGTACCAAGGCTTTTGTGCTGGATGCGTATTCCTTTCCACTGTGGAAAGAAGGGAAGGGACTGGAGAATTCAGTAACTGGATTTCTATTCTAGAGGATCAAAGAAGTCGCCCAAGTTCACACGCAGTTTAGAAAAAAATGTTGGTCTGGTCCTGCCTGATATTTTCACCGTATCTGCTTTACACCTCATCGGAAAAGGGTATGAAAAAGCAGGAGCGAAGTAAACTTGCAGGTGCGGCTTTGCCGAAGGGAGAGGGCACTATACCGGGCCGGTGTTGGGGAGGAAGTGACTCCCGGCGCCCCAGACACACCCAGCTGAAGAGTACAGTAAGGCAGAATTCCAGGCAAGCCCGAAACTGCTTCTGTTTAAACAAATGCAAGTGGTTGCAAAGCAAAGAGAGAGAGTTGGGGTTCTTGGAAATTCTGGGGGTCTTCCTAATTCGTGGGTGAAATGGAAGATTGAAAATTCCCACCCTCCTTTCAGTTCTACAGTTGACATTCTATTTCGGTACAGCTCCAGCCGAGTTGAAGTTGTCGAACAGCGCTTGGAAAAGGCAATTGTTGATCACGCGGTGCAGTTTGTCTAAATATATCCCAGGATATTTGGGGGACACAGTCTGAGTGCCCTCTCTCTGCTCTAGGTTAGGGTTGTGTTTGAATTTGTTTAAATTAAATGGGAGCGTGTGGAGGAAGTAGGGGTGCGGGGGGTTGTTGGAGGTTATCGATTGGAAAACAAAGACACAAGTACAAGGCGAGGCGATAACGAGTGGCAGACGCTGACAGGGGAACAGAGTCGTGCTCTTCATTTCGCGAAAAGTCACGCATTCAGTTAAACACAGAGACTCAAGGCCGTGCTATCCGTGCGCAATCTCCTGGATCATTCATTTTCACAACACGCGACTACACATTTTGTGCCGAGATTCAGTTCGCTAGGGAAAACAAAACTCACCCCTCAATTGACTAGGGGTTAACCCTTTAACGGAGCCCCAGCTTAGTGATCAGACACCCCCTCCCAAGTATATTCCACCACTTGGTGACCCCACCCCTCTCTCTTGAGATTCGCCTCTCTCTTCGACCCTTTTCCTTTAAAAATATAATCAAGAAACATTCGAGTTGCGTTGACTGACAACGACTCATGGCCAAGTGGATCCGTTACATTTCTCCCAGCGCAGTATGATTTCATCCAGCGGGAATTTTACAGCTAAAATGGAACCAAACTTCTTTATAAAGAGAGAGAGGGAGGGAGAGCCAGCTGTAAAAACTGGTTTCTTAGAAATTCGCGAGTTGAGCCCTCCGACGCAGTGAAGTTGAAATCTCACGTGTAATTTAATTTCCACACCCACCCTGAAGAAAAGACGCTTGATCGGGGAAAACCATCCAGGTTAGAAGGTTAAACTCTCGGCAAAGACTCTCTCACTCCTCTCGGCTAGAGAGCCAGCCGAGAAAAAAAGTGTTTTGTCTTAAACTGGCTGTCAGGATCCAGTCTAGTTACACTGCATTGCTTAATCGTGGGCATTCCGTCTCGCGATTTTAATTCCTACCTTTTCTTCTAAGGGGAGTTTTAAAAAAAACAAATGAAACAGGAACGGTATGAACTGCAAAGTGGCTGGAATCGTCCTCACTTACCTGAACAAGAAGAAAGGGTAGCGTTACTTGAATTTTGAGCTCCATATCTGCCGCCTATAAGGTCCTGTAGGTTTCATTCATGCACCGGCTAGCACAGTGCATATTTTTATATAGAGCTGTGCTTCAGGCTGCCTTGAAACCCAGCCAACTTCTCAAATAGATCTGCAGCATCATCACTAAAGCGCTGGGCGGCTACTTGAGTCTCCAACCAATGGCTTTTCAGAGGATTCCGTGCAAAAGCAACACCAGAAGAATTTCGAGGGGAGGGGAGGGAGGGAATATATTAACACACTCGCGGCGTCCCCGCCTCGGACATTTATTGTGAGATGTGGAGTCCGGTCCGAAGTACCTTCAACTCCGACGGTGTTTTCCGCCGTTACCGCCGCAGAAGTGTGGGCTGACAATTCTCTCCCTCATGAGAGGGTGTCATCGCAGGGCTGAGAGTCGACCGCCACCGAGATAACCTTACCAGCAGCTAGCCACTGATAGTGCAGTCACCAGGAGGACATGAACAAGCTGGCTGCTATTTAAAACAACTTATCTGTCGGGTCTGCCCAGCATCATAACAGGAATGCCAGGATTGGATCTCACCTCTCCATCCATAAACCAACTAGCCCTGTAATCTCCTGACAGAGGATATACACTTTGGAAAGTTCTTCTGCCACCTCCTCTGCGTAACAAAACCAATCCAGGTTAAACAAAGTACACTCCAGTAATCCTGGTCTCTTGACCCTTCCCATTGCTCCATTTTGGGTAGTTGGTGCCCCCAGTTGTTGAGGACCCAAGCTCTGGAAATTGCTCTAACAGAGGAATTTTTCAATTTATTTTCTTTTGAAGGGATCTAGAGATTGTTTTATTTCTCCTAGGAGAGATTTAAACCTAACCATCCTCATCTATTTCATCAATGAAATTCTCTTATCATAAGGTCAGGTAAATGTCTGGCACCATTCATGACTCCTCAGATACAAAAGCATTCTATGTGCAAAGGCAGCAACATTTGGAAAACATTCAGGTTTCAGCTAATAATTGGCGAGCAGCATTTGAGACACACAAGTGCTAATCAATGATTATTTCCAAGAGAGAATCTAATCATCAACATTCAATGGTATTGTCATTGCAAGGGGTTGCCATTGACCCAGCCATATAAATACTATGGCTATAAACTCTGCAGAAAGTAACTCACCTCCTGTCACCCCAACGTCCGTGCACTGTCCGCAGCACAAAAGTCAGGAATGTTGTGAATACTCTCCGCTTAGCTGGATGGGTCCAGCTCCAACAACACTCAAGAAGCTTAACACTATCTAGGATAAAGCATCTTGCTTGAATGGCACCCCATCTACCACCTTCAACATTCACTCCCTCCAACACAAACACACAATGGCAGTGGTTTGTAACATCTACAAGACACACAGTAACAAACCTGCAAACTCTACCACTTGGTAGGACGAGAGCTGCAGATGCGTGGGTCACCACCTCCTGCAAATTCTGCTCCAAGCCCCACACCATTCCTGACTCCAAACTATATCATTCACTGATGCTACGCCTGACGTAATAAAGACTTCCTGAGCCAGTGACACCCGGATTATTTAAAAAAACGCAAGGACATTTAAAATCAAGACCAGAACCAATGCAGGAAACTGAGCACAGGCATGATAATTGACTGGAAATTTGAATTGGATATGCACAGGAGATTTTTGTAATATCTCAAGTTTGTGGAGAGTAGAATGTGGGAAACATGCTGAGAGTGTGCTGCAATAAACTGGACTAGGAGTAACAAAGGTGTGAATAAAGGTTTCAGATGAGCTAAGGCATCGAAGATGATGTTAAGAAGTGAAAATAAGCAGCCTCAGTGTTGACAAAATAGGAAATAAGGTTAGGAGTAGGCTATTCTTCCCTTTGAGCCTATTTCTCCATTGAACTAAATCATGCCTGATTTTCTATTTCAATGCTATTTTCCTGTATTTTCACTATATCCCTTGATAACTTTAAGATCTTAGAAATCTATCAATCTCTGACTTGAATATTCCATGACTGCATGTTTAGAATCTCAACTCTGAGTCAAATGTGACACCCTGATTGCACATAAACAGGTTTAGCCTGGGGCTGTGTCCAGGGAGAAGATGGTGTCAGTAACGGGGAACAGAGGTTGGAGTAAGGACTGAAAACAATGGCTTTTACCTTCCCAATATTAAATTGAAGGAAAGTTTTGATCATTCAGTATTGAATATCAGATAGGCAGTCTGATAATTGAACAACAGTGAAGGACATAAGTGATGGTGCTAAGGTCAAGTTGAATGTTATGATGTGCAGGTGAAAGTAAACACTGGCTTTCAGAAAATGTTACTGAGGGCCATTGTACAGATGATAAGAGAAGACAGTCTTGGCTTTTGGGATACACTAGAAATGCATGTAAGAGTACAAAGGGAAGTTATTGTGAGTGGCTACAATTAGATGGGCAAGAATGGAACCAGGTGAGACCATCATTGAGAAAGCTGTTTACCTTCTGTATGTTCCACAGTTAAGGACTGATCCAGGATTCTATTGAAGGCAGACAAATAGTCAACAGCCAGAATACCTGCAGGCAATATATTCAAAAGTCTGAATACTGTCCAAGAAGAAGAAAGAGAAATGATTCTATCAGAACTGTCTGCATTGTGTTTTATTTAAAGCAATGTGAAAGTTTGGCTAGAGTACAATTTAACAGTGACAATGGTGAAACACTTCATTTCACCAAAAGGTTTTCATGGTATTTACACAATTTTTCATTGCGGTGATTTCAAAGAGCACCTATTGCACAGCATCATTGCATCTGGAGTTTCTTCTTCTGTACAATCTGAAAGCTAGACTCAAAAATGCCCCCAGTATGCATTTTGCTAATTTCAAATTACGCGCAAAAATCTACCCAATCTCAACTGGAAGATGTCTGAACTTAGAATGGGTGGGAATCAGCAGACGTGACTAAATCAAAGCCAGAGTCAGTGTAGATTTGAGAGCAGCTGACTTAAGTTTTAGCTGCTTTTTCCATCACTTCTGCCACTGGGACAGAACATGCGATTGGGAAGCTGTTCAACCTTTAATGCAATTGATGCCATAGATTCAAAGAAACAAAAAGTACACAGGAGGCCTCAGTGTGGATGAATGTTTAAACATAAGTACTAAAACACCTGAAAAGTTATTTTGCTTCTTGTCATGCCAAAAATTGACCAGAAAACTCCTCAAACAAGTACCATTGGAAGATGCATATATTTGAGAGTTGAGGGAAAATCCAAAAAAGATTTGCAGATGCTGAAAAATTTTCCAGCAATTTCTGTTTTTATGTGAGAGTTGGGGCATAGCCACCTCTGTGGGTGGAGAGTTGTCTTGACAGAAGATTTCAGAGATAGTCATAAAATATCGAAGAGACATGGCTCATTTAGGTGTGTGTTTAACTTACTTATACCCTGAGTTATGTGACTAAATCAAAAAATTTGTTGGCAACCAGTCTATGAATGTCTCTCCACACAAAGTGTGGAGGAAACTGCAGGACCTGTTCTTCATTTTTTTTTTGCATTACAAGTCATACCAACATTAGTAACATAAAATGTATTATAATGTTGAATTATTTTCTAAGCCTAAATATTCCACACAGTTAAAGGAGACTTCCAGTCGTATTGTGTTTTCTTAAATGAAGAAGAAACATTTTAAAGATTCATATATAACTCATTAATTTGAGCTGCCCATTATTAGCTAAGAAAGGGTACCAGACATTGCCATAAAAACTGAACTCCAGAGGTTAAGTGGCAGTGACTTCCCTTGACATTAAGATCACATTTGACTGAATGTGGCATCAAGAAGTCTGAGCAGAACTGGAGTCAATGGAATCAGGAGGAAAATTCTGTAATAGAAAAACAAATCATAGCCTGTTATTGCACATGCTCTAAATTACACCATGGTTGGTGCCATACATTTGCCATATGCACAGGCCCTGCAGGCATCTGTGTTACTCAATCACTGGGACACCTGAAACTGCAATTGGCAGCATGTTATCAAATGAACTAATCGAACTCACACAAATCAAAGATCCAAAACTGCTCCTGCATGTCTTGTTACAATCTAGCCTAAAGCTAACGGGAAGAATAATAATTTCACTAAAAAGCAAATAAAGATCCCAGTAAATGTCAAAAATCTAAAACAAAAGCAAAAAAAAATGAAGGAAATGCATATATCCATCAGCATCTATGTGGAGCAAAGATAAGGTTGATGTTCCAAGAGTACATGCCTTCACAACAACAGAAGCAAACCAAAGGTAAGCAAGAAAATAAACATGTTAACATTACAGTGTGAATCCTTCATTGAATCAGGATAGCAGGCATACATGGAACCATCTGTAATCTGCTAAAAAAACAAAGGATTATTGGTTGACAGTTTATGTCAAACAAAGGATCTCAACATTAAAGCAATTAAACATATTAAAAAACAAATATCATATGAATACTTAAAATAGTAAGAGATAAAGCAAAGAAAAAAGTAGAAAATGGATTGAATGCCTATAAAAATGAAAGGGAATATGGGGTCGAATTTGCTGGCAATTCTCAAATGGAGGAACAAGTCAAATAGATAATTTGACTGAATTTGTCGGTGACACAACTCACAAGGGGCTCTTCCAACATATGTGCTGTTGTAGCATCTGTGATAGTACAGGCAGCTGCCTGCGCTTAAGATGACACCAGTCATCACAGAGTCAATGGAACAAGTTATAGAAATAGCCCTACATCTTTTCCTGACACTTGATACTTTTGCATGGCCTCTCTTGGTTTTGCACTTTTGCACTTTTTGGCTGTGCTTAATGAAGACATTCAATCAGGACTGACGGTGGTCTCTACAATCTTAATTTCCTGAACTTTTTTATGTTTATTTTTAACCAGTTTTGCCTCATCCAGTGATTATTTCCTGGATTGCTGATTAGAAAAAGAATACTTTATCTGTTCATCAATTCTGTTCATTTTTAAACCTTTGCCTTTTCAATTATGTTAAGCACTCTGATCAGATCAATTTTAATTTGAATTTGAATGAATAAACCCCTACTTTACCCAATCTGTCATCCTTTCATCCTGA